CAAGGCGGCGGGGGGTGTTAAAAGACCCCCCAAAATTTCCATTTAAAAAGTAGCTTTTAGAGCCCTATTAGCTGTATAAGACCGGTACCCCAAATGTACACTTACCATTGGGAGCTTACTGACCAAGTATCCTTTACCAACCATCCCATTGACCAGTGCTGTTTACATCCTTGGTTTTTAAAATAAGCCAATTCACTTCAAGTAATAGCATCGCGTTACCGGTTGATGTAGTTAAACACTAGTGACTCACTTAAAAGTTTGTTATTTAACGAACTAATGTCGGTTATCGAATACAATTGTTTCATTTACAAGTGGATTTACCGATTTATTTGTTTATTTATATCATACTGTAATATATTAAACACTGGAAGTATTTTCTTTAATTTATAAGCTCTTCAGCGATACAGTATTCCTAATTCAATAGTGTTTCATTAGGATTTGAGTGAAAAAAGATTACTGTACATACTTACTACATACATTTATTACACAAATATATATATATATATATATATATATATATATATATATATATATATATATATATATATATATATATATATATATATATATATATATATATATACACAATATTTATAATTGCAGTCATGTACTGAATATTCTATGTAAAAATATAAATTTTAAATGAATTATTTCTAGTGTTGGTCGACTTCCTACACAAAGACAGGCTATAAATGGCAGTCTTATCTCCCCTCTGTTCTGAGAGAGGTCTTGGTAAATAACTTTTGTTTGTTTATTTTCATTGTTTGTCAATTTATCATGTTGTATCAAAGTAATATTACTAAAAGTTTTGGCAGCTACCAAACAGGGAGATTCTGCACTGGGAAGATATTGGAAGCATAATGTACAGTATTGTTAATGGTGGACCCTGCTGCCATATGGCATCCACGAAAATTGTGACCAAGTCTTAGGTTGCTGATTTATCTTACTGCCTCATTTACACACAATTGTTGAGTTTCAATTGTTTCTCTTCCTTTGACAACACAACTACATACAATATAATGCTTCACCTTTGATCTTTTTTCCATTTATTTATGGTTGGTTATTTAAAATAATGCCAATTCACTTCAAAGTATTGGCATCAAATTTTCTACCATTGTTGTACACTAGTGACTCATAGCGTCAGTTATTTAACTGGAACTAATGTTGGTGTGAGTAAAATATTTCCATTTACTTGAAATAGATTTGCCGTTATTTGTTTTATTTATTTAGCTATAATATATTGTAATACATTAAACACACTGCAAGTATTTTCTTTAATTATATACTTGTTTTGCGAAAAAGGAGGCAATTATACCTGGTAGGTGAAGTTGACCAGACATTTATGATCATTAAGGACCAAACTCGAATCCATGGCGTGACTTCTGTTAATCATTCTCATCCTAAATTTACCACCGTTAGTTTCAAAAATTAAGCATGATCATTTACTGAATATTCTTTGTAAAATTAATTTTAAATTAATTATTTATAGGAGATAAATATTATGATCAGTAAATATACAGATATGCATTACTCCATACCTCCGGACACAAGGATGGCTAAAAATAGCCACAGGCGGTCACTGTCAGAGTCGCTTTCCCTTTCGTCGCACTGAAATGGGGGGTGATGATAGCAGCTGTGTTTATTACGGGGTATATTGTTCTTTTACGGTATGTTAGACTGGTTTATAATACATTTTTATTATTTTAATATACCGTAATCTTCATTTAATCAGCTTCCCAAATTTAAGTTTTAGTATAAAATAATTAGTGGTAGGACCTTGTGAGTGGTTTACCATGTTTCCATCACCCTCTTGACCGCTAAACCATAAAATTTAAGAGGTAAGAATTTTATCTCTGGTGCTTAAAACTGACCCTAACTTGGCTGATTTTTTTTGTTCAAATTCGTCTTGTAGGCGAGATATACGGTATATATATATGTATGTGTAATAAATGTATGTTGTAAGTCACGTATCTTTTTCCTCAAATCTAATGAAACACCTAATTGAAATCAAGTTGGTAGCTGTTGTATAAACAGTCGGAACACAGTCCCACCACAGGCAAGGGAACACTCCCACCACCGATGCGTCTCGTCGAAGCAAAAGCGTAAAATTAAAATACTTGCAGTTAATTTTAATATGTTACAATGTATAAATAAATAAATAAACAAACAAACAAAGTAAATCGTTAAATCCATTTCAAGTAAATGGAAAAATTTTACTCGACACGACATTAGTTCCAGTTACGGTAAATGTAGAGCGGCAAGTGGCGTCCTAGTGTTTTTACACTACAGGCCGGGTAACATTTGATGACATTACTTGAAGTGAATTGGACTTATTTTAAAACCAAGGATGGTTGGTGAGACTACTGAGTCAGTGGGTAAGTGTCACATTTGGGGTACCGGTCTTATCACGTTACAGTGAATAGAGCTCAAAAGCTACTTTTTAAATGGAAATTTGGGGGCCGTGTTATGACCCAGTCGTATATAGGCGAGATATACGGTATATGTCAGGCTATCCCAAGAGTGTTAATATTAAGTTCTTACTCTTGAAAACTGCTGGTTAATTCTTTACAAACAGAATTAAAATATATATAAAGTATAATATGTTAACTTAGAAACCCACAGATGATCTACTAATGTCAGACAGGATTCATTATCTATGACTAAAATACTGTTTTGAGGTTAACTTAAGGCAAAGAATAGGTTGTGACTGTGCTGCCAGGATGGAACCTTTATTTCACACCTCAATGTTTGGCCAATAATGAAACTTTTTGAATTACGGTACAGGTACAGTATCCCCAATTTACAGTCTCCCTATTTATGATATTACACTTGAACAATGGTGTTGTAAGACTGCCTCCTTCCCCTTCCCCCTTCCCTCTCCCCTATTTACGTAAAAAAATTGCATGAATGCTGGTTATCATCCGCCAAAATTGCTGACATGTGGAATATGGAACACATAGCCCACTGCACTGCGTCAGCTGCGGTCTACCCCCCATGTGGCCATCCAGTGCACCTGATCCCATGCTTTGTTCCATGGTGATGCATCTGAGTCTGTCAAAAAAACCGAACTTTTAGAAAACAAATTTATTTCTTTACTTACAACAATCAGACTTGTCTCCTTCAAAGTACTCCCCTCCACTGTTGATACACTGCTCCCAACGATTTTCCAGTTCTGGAGCGCGTCCTGGAATGCGTCTTGAGGGATCGTGTGCCGGGTCTGATGGCGAATTTTCTTCTAACTCTTCTGTCGTTTGAAATGGCGACCTTTAGGGTGGATATTAACTTTGGGGAACAAAAAAAGTCCACAGGGGCCAAATCCGGAGAGTAGGGCGGCTGGGGATGATAGTCATCTCGGTCTTGCCAAAAGTCACAGATAAGGGCGGCGCTTGAGCAGGTGCATTGTCATGGTGCAGCATCCAGGTCTTGTTTGTCCGCCTCAGGCCTCATCGCCACTTTTTACCCCCTCAAATGCTTCAGGACCTCCAAGTAAAACTCTTTATTGACTGTGACCACGTGGAACAAATTCATGATAACGATGCTCTCCAATCAAAAAAGCGATCAACATCACCTCCACATTTGGCGACTCTGGCGTCCAGATTTGGGATCGTCTTCGGTGGATGTTCTTCCCTTTTGAGCTTGATACCACACATGACATTGGTGCGGCTCAACAATCCTCCCACAAGCCTGTTGCAACATTTGAAAAGTCTCCTTAAAGTTTTTCCCAATTTGAAACAGAATTTCCACGAAACACGTTGCTCTTCAAGGTCCTTTATTGTTCAACTTGCAACAAATGCATGCAGTGCACTAAACACACGTGCAGCTTCGTTGACTAATTGACCCTGGTATTGATGCGGCTAGTGTTGAACTACAGGTCAAGGTCACCGCCACACAGTGCACCCGTCCGAAACCTGTGCCGGCTCGTTGGTCTTGCATTTAAAAAGTTTGGTTTCTTTTGGACAGACCTCGTATGCCCATGATCATATAACTCAAGTGATTATTATCAGTCAGTATCTCTGTTGTTACTTATCATTTTTTTTCTCCTTACACTGATTTGTATTCGGTTTTGTGAATGTACAGTGCTTTGCTCTGTTTTTGTGACTGTGAAGTGAGCAGTGTAACTCTGAAGATGATTATCAAGCGTGTTGCTGAGGCTTCTGTGTCTGGGAAGGCCAAGGCACAGGAAAACAGTGTGGCTGTACATGTGATGACGACCTGGCTTATTTAATGATGTGGTGTATTATTATTGCAGGGTTTTTTTGGGGGAGGGTGATACATGTGGGTTTCAGACTGGCTGGGAGCATATCCCAGAAACATAACCCGTAATGTCGAGACCTGTAAAGGTGATAAAGAGTGAGTAAATACCAGATGTAGTAAGACAGGTGATGTGACTCTGGCTGTCAGTAAAGACTCGCTTCACCACCACAAAAAGTGTAATAAAAGTTGTTTATCTTCAACTATCAGGGAACACGTTAAGGTCCACCTGTTCTTGATTCATTTAATGCATTTTTTTTTTTTTATTATAGATAAACAGAGCCACTTGACAGCCATCATGCAAAACAGTTTGTAAGAGGCAGTGAAGATCTAAAGCTCAAGTTTGGTAGGGAGGTGTGGGTGGCGTGAGGCTGGTCATATACAGTAGTATGTTCTGCCGTCCAGGAGGGCAGTATTTTAGAACAGTACTCAGTGTAGACTCTAGGGTTTGCTGGCAGTGGATTTGGCAGTCACCACTTGTCCTAATGATCGCTGGTTAGATCTTGGGTATCCCTATTCTACCCAGCTGTAAGTGGGTACCTGATTATACAGTTGGAAAATAACAAGTAATTATAGTGCAACCACACTGTACCAGAGCCTTAGTATACAGTGTACAGTACTGTACTGTATTTACTTGACCTAACCCCCACCCACTGGTCTTTGGTAGGTGGCATTGGTGATGGTCTAATGTCCCTCCACCCAACAAGACCAGTAACTTCCTTGTTTTACATTACATTACTTTTCCCCAGGGTTGTTGACTTTGATGGAGTAGTTGGAAAAGGAACATTGGACAGAATGTGCAGGTTAGTTATATTTTGTTGTTTATCATAAATATGGTTAATGGAAGAAAACTTTCATATCTCTTCAATCAGCTCATCTTACCAGATATGATGATGCTACTCTTTTAGGAAATATCAGTCAAAGATCAATAAACTTAACATAAATTTGATATTAATATTTATTTTGTCATCAAATTTTGCAAACAGACTGAAGTGAAATGAATGATGCATTACATAAATGGGTTATTATATCAGAGGTTGAAAGCTGGCATGATACTGTCTTGGGAAGCTTGTGTGTTGGTAGGAGGAAGTGTTGACACTGTGTCCTGGAGGCTGATATTACTGTTGTGCCCCAACACTGTGTTAAGGAGAGACTATCTCCCAACACTGTGTTAGAGTGTATCTCCCCAACACTGTGTTAAGGAGAGTGTATCTCCCAACTTACTGTGTTAGGAGAGGTGTATCTCCCCAACACTGTGTTAAGGAGATGTAATATCTCCCCAACACTGTGTTAAGGAGGTGTATCTCCCCAACACTGTGTTAGGAGAGGTGTATCCTCTGTACTGTGGGAGGAGGTGTATCTCCCAACACTTTGTGTTAGGAGAGGTGTATCTCCCCAACACTGTGTTAAGGAGAGGTGTATCTCCCCCAACACTGTGTTAAGGAGAGGTGTATCTCCCAACACTGTGTTAAGGAGGTGTATCTCCCCAACTTGCCCGTGTTGGGAGGATGTATCTCACAACACTGTGTTAGAGGAGGTGTATCTCCCAGCACTGTGTTGGGAGGTGTATCTCAACTTGCTGTGTGCAGGAGAGGTGTATCTCCCAACACTGTGTTGGGAGAGGTGTATCTCCCCAACACTGTGTTAGGAGAGGTGTATCTCCCCAACACTGTGTTGGGGAGGGTGTATCTCCCCAACACTGTGTTAGGAGAGAGGTGTATCTCCCCAACACTGTGTTGGGAAGGTGTATCTCTAGCACTGTGTTGGAGGGTGTATCTCCCCAACTTGCTGTGTTAAGGAGAGGTGTATCTCCCCAACACTGTGTTAGAGGAGAGGTGTATCTCCCAACACTGTGTTAGAGAGGGTGTATCTCCCCAACACTGTGTTAAGGAGATTAATATCTCCCCAACACTGTGTTAGGAGAGGTGTATCTCAACACTGTGTTAAGGAAGGTGTATCTCTGTACTGTGTTGGGGAGAGGTGTATCTCCCCAACACTGTGTTGGGGAGGTGTATCTCCCCAGCTTGCACTGTGTTAGGAGGGTGTATCTCCCCAACACTGTGTTAAGAAGGAGAATGTCTCCCCAACACTGTGTTGGGAAGTGTATATACACTGTGTTAGAGGAATGTATCTCCCAACACTGTGTTGGGAGGAGGTGCTGTCTCACAGCTTGCTGTGTTAAGGAGAAGGTGTATCTCCCCAACACTTACTGTGTTGGGAGGTGTATCTCCCAACACTGTGTTGGGAGGAGGTGTACTCCCCAACACTGTGTTAGAGAGGTGTATCTCCCCAGCACTGTGTTAAGGAGAGGTGTATCTCCCCAACACTGTGTTGGGAGAGGTGTATCTCCCCAACACTGTGTTAGGGAGGGTGTATCTGCAACACTGTGTTGGGAGGGTGTATCTCCCCAACACTGTGTTAAGGAGGTGTATCTCCCCCAACACTGTGTTAGGAGAGGTGTATCTCCCCAACTTACTGTGTTAAGGAGGAATTAATATCTCCCCAACTTGCTGTGTTAGGAGAGGTGTATCTCCCCAACACTGTGGGAGGAGGTGTATCTCCCCAACACTGTGTTAAGGAGGGTGTATCTCCCCAACACTGTGTTAGAGAGTGTATCTCCCCAACACTGTGTTGGGAGAGGTGTATCTCCCAACACTGTGTTAGGAGGAGGTGTATCTCCCCAGCACTGTGTTAGGAAGTGTATCTCCCCAACACTGTGTTAAGGAGAGGTGTATCTCCCCAACACTGTGTTAAGGAGAGGTGTCTCCCCAACACTGTGTTAAGGAGAGGTGTATCTCCCCAACACTGTGTTAAGGAGGTGTATCTCCCCAGCACTGTGTTAAGGAGAGGTGTATCTCCCCAACACTGTGTTAAGGAGAGGTAATATCTCCCCAACACTGTGTTAAGGAGAGGTGTATCTCCCCAACTGCACTGTGTTAAGGAGAGGTGTATCTCCCAACACTGTGTTAAGGAGGTCAATATCTCCCCAACTTACTGTGTTAAGGAGGGTGTATCCTCCCCAACACTGTGTTAAGGAGAGGTGTACCTCCCAACACTGTGTGTTAAGAGGTGTATCTCCCCAACACTGTGTTAGAGGAGGTGTATCTCCCCAGCACTGTGTTAAGGAGGTGTATCTCCCCAACACTGTGTTAAGGAGATTGTATCTCCCCAACACTGTGTTAAGGAGAGTGTATCTCCCAGCACTGTGTTGGGAGAGATTAATATCTCCCCAACACTGTGTTGGGAGAGGTGTATCTCCCCAGCACTGTGTTAAGGGGAGGTGTATCTCCCCAACATAATGTGTTAAGGAGGGTGTATCTCCCAGCACTGTGTTAGGAGAGGTGTATCTCCCCAGCACTGTGTTAGAGAGAGGTGTGCCTCCCAACACTGTGTTAAGGAGAGGTGTATCTCCCCAGCACTGTGTTAGAGGTGTATCTCCCAGCACTGTGTTAGGAGAGGTGTATCTCCCCAACACTGTGTTAGGAGAGGTGTATCTCCCAGCACTGTGTTAGGAGAGGTGTATCTCCCCAGCACTGTGTTAAGGAGAGGTGTATCTCCCCAGCACTGTGTTGGGAGGTGTGCCTCCCCCAACACTGTGTTAGGAGAGAGGTGTATCTCCCAGCACTGTGTTAAGGAGGGTGTATCTCCCCCAGCACTGTGTTAAGGAGAGGTGTATCTCCCCCACACTGTGTGTTAGGAGAAGTGTATCTCCCCAGCACTGTGTTGGGAGAGGTGTATCTCCCCAACACTGTGTTAAGGAGAGGTGTATCTCCCAACACTGTGTTAAGGAGGTGTAACTCTACAACACTGTGTTAAGGAGAGGTGTATCTCCCCAACACTGTGTTGGGAGGTGTATCTCCCAACACTGTGTTAGGAGAGGTGTATCTCCCCAACACTGTGTTAAGGAGGTGCTGCTCTCCCCAACTTACTGTGTTAAGGAGAGTGTATCTCCCCAACACTGTGTTAGGAGAGGTGTATCTCCCAACACTGTGTTAAGAGGTATATCTCCCCAGCATGTAAGGAGAGGTGTATCTCCCCAACACTGTGTTGGGAGAGGTGTACCTCCCAACACTGTGTTAAGGAGGTGTATCTCCCCAACACTGTGTTAAGGAGAGGTGTATCTCCCCAACACTGTGTTAGGAGAGGTGTATCTCCCCAACACTGTGTTAGGAGAGGTGTTAATATCTCCCAGCACTGTGTTAGGAGACATCTCCCCAACACTGTGTTGGGAGGTGTACTCCCCAACACTGTGTTAGGAGAGGTGTGTATCTCCCCCAACACTGTGTTAAGGAGGTGTATCTCCCCAGCACTGTGTTAGGAGAGGTGTATCTCCCCAACACTGTGTTAAGGAGGTGTACCTCCCAACACTGTGTTAGAGGTGTATCTCCCCAACACTGTGTTGGAGAGGTGTATCTCAGCACTGTGTTAAGGAGAGTGTATCTCCCAACACTGTGTTAGGAGGTGTATCTCCCCAACACTGTGTTAAGGAGAGGTGTATCTCTCCCCAACACTGTGTTAAGGAGAGGGTGTATCTCCCCAGCACTGTGTTGGGAGAGGTGTATCTCCCAGCACTGTGTTGGGAGAGGTGTATCCCCAACACTGTGTTGGGAGAGGTGTATCTCCCCAGCACTGTGTTGGGAGAGGTGTATCTCACAACACTGTGTTGGGAGAGGTCAATATCTCCCAACACTGTGTTAAGGAGGTTGTATCTCCCCAACACTGTGTTAGAGGTGTATCTCCCCAACACTGTGTTAAGGAGAGGTGTATCTCCCAGCACTGTGTTAGGAGGTGTATCTCCCCAACACTGTGTTAGGAGAGGGTGTACCTCCCCAACGTAATTGGGAGGTGTTATCTCCCCCAACACTGTGTTAGCAGGAGGTGTATCTCCCCCAACACTGTGTTAGAGGAGAGGTGTGTCTCCCCCAACACTGTGTTGGGAGGGGTGTATCTCACAACACTGTGTTGGGAGAGGTGTATCACCCCCAACACTGTGTTAGGAGAGTGTATCTCCCCAACACTGTGGTAGGAGAGGTGTGTATCTCCCACAGCACTGTGTGTTAAGGAGAGGTGTATCTCCCCAACTTACTGTGTGGGAGGTGTATCTCCCCAACACTGTGTTGGGAGGTGTATCTCCCCAACACTGTGTTAGGAGAGGTGTATCTCCCCAACACTGTGTTAGGAGAGGTGTATCTCCCCAACACTGTGTTAAGGAGAGTATCTCCCCAACACTGTGTTAGGAGAGGTGTATCTCCCAGCACTGTGTTAAGGAGAGGTGTATCTCCCCAACTTACTGTGTTAGGAGGGAATGTACCTCCCCAACACTGTGGTAGGAGGTGTATCTCCCAGCACTGTGTTGGGAGGTGTATGCTCCCCAGCGCACTGTGTTAAGGAGGTGTATCTCCCCAACACTGTGTTAGGAGAGGTGTATCTCCCCAACTTTGTGTTGGGAGATGTATCTCCCCAACACTGTGTTAAGGAGATGTATCTCCCCAACACTGTGTTAGGGAGAGGTGTATCTCCCCAACACTGTGTTAGAGGAGAGGTGTATCTCCCCAACACTGTGTTAGGAGGTGTATCTCCCCAACACTGTGTTAAGGAGAGGTGTATCTCCCCCAACACTGTGTTGGGAGAGGTGTATCTCCCAACACTGTGTTAAGGAGGTGTATCTCCCCAACTTACTGTGTTGGGAGAATGTATCTCCCCAACACTGTGTTGGGAGAGGTGTATCTCCCCAACACTGTGTTAAAGAGTGTATCTCCCCAACACACTGTGTTGGGGAGGTGTGCCTCCCCAACACTGTGTT